CATCAGAAACAGATGCTAAAGTAGAAAACCATTCATTAGGCGAAATTAGACAGCCTGTTTTCCAACTCGATTCCTGCTTAAGACCCTCTGTATTATATTTATTCACTGATGACGACTTATTTGCAAGCGTGGATCTGTCAGATTTGGCAGCATGGTGGGTTAATGAAGGCCACATGTGGTCCCTGGGCCGTGCGTTGTCCACATGGTCTCATAGACTGCGGGACAGAGGTTTCCTCCACAATGGAAGCAAGCGTGCATCGGTCTCATTAAGCAAAAGCCAAAGTGCCGGTTGAGAAAGAGGCTAGACATTGTGGCGAGTTTTTCTTTGGCAGCTGTGGGTTCTCAACAGAAGGTGCTCGCGGCCTCAGCCATGGATACGGAGCCCCACTGTGGAAGGGTCAACAGGAGCCCTCCCTGACGGAGCTTGGACTGGGTTGTTTTGCAATTTGCTGTTTCTGCAGATACCGCCATTCCTGTTTTGAACATGCTTCAGAGCAATGTTTGGGGCTTCTTGCCAAGACAAATAAACATGAACTTGCAAGCAGGCGTAGGGTATGTTAGTCGGGAGCTAAAGCTAGGGAGTTTGGCTAGGCCGGTCCTAGGATTGGCAAGGCCAGAAGGGCAGACAAGGGACGGGCATTTGTGTATACAGCACCCACCTTTTGGTTATATCATCACCAGCCAAAGTTTGGAATTCCGGAACTCACAACAGAGCCTTCTTCTTGGAGGCAGCTCACCTCTGGAATGCATACCCCAACCCACTGGAGTTTAGATTGGGACCAACGTTGGCTAGTTTTGGGCCTAAAATGAAAACGAGCCTTTTCCCACAGGCCTTTTAATGGATGGTTGGACCTACGAAATGCAGCAAAAGACTTGAATAATGGTCCATGGCAGGGTTTGGATGAAGTTCCATGAAATCCACCCCTCAAGCATTCACAGACTTCCTTGTGTGCTTGGCCTAGTCTTAGAAAGTGGGCTAAGTCAAGAAGAGGTCCATGATTGTGTATCTGGCAACCTTTTTCTACATCACACATGCTGCAGCGCAAGCAGAGGCCGCTGCGTGTGACCGGGCAGAAGGAATGCCAGTTGCTTAGCGGTCACCCAGGGCCCAGTTTCTGGTGCTTACAACACAAACTCTGAGTGTACATGCAAGGGGCTTGGAATCAGGGTCATGACAAAACAGACCTGAGTCTGGAAAGCCAGGGCCAAGGAACCCACTGGATTCCTGCTTCCAAGATGGATTCCTTAACACACCCAGTTGACATGGACATTTTCATATTGACCAGCTGTTCTGCATTTTTCCAGGGGGTTTTAGACCCTCTCATAAGGAATTTCTCCAGGCGTTTTACAATAATACTACCACCCAAAAAATCACAACAGAAGCAACCATGTAAAACTAAGAAATCTGCCGACCCAACTTCATATCCAGTTTCATGAACAGGAAGTAAAACCACATAGGAAGGATTAGGATAATAAAACATTAAAATGTTGCTGTTGTGACATGCCATCAAGTCATCTCCTAGTTGTGACCACCTTATGAATGAGCATCCTCCAAAATGACTTGCCATGGAGAGCCTTCCTCAGCTCATGTAGCCTCAAGGCGGTGGCTTCCATCATCATCATCATCATCATTATTATTATTATTATTATTATTATTATTATTATTATTATTAGAACATTTCTATGCTGCCCCTTGCCAAAGCTTTGGGGCGGCTTACAATACAATACAATACAATACAATACAAAAATAACAATATAAAATTAAAATTAATAATATAAAATAAATAAAAATATAAATGATATAAAAGAAGTTATAAAAGAAAAGTTATAAAGAAAAGAAAAGAAAAGAAAAGAAAAGAAAAGAAAAGAAAAGAAAAGAAAAGAAAAGAAAAGAAGTCGCCCAGGCCAGATAAATAAGTAAATATTGTTAACAATTTATGGAATGGGACCATCTCGTGTTTGGTCTCCCCCTTCCTCTGCCTGCGACTTTCCCCGCCAGGATTGCCTTCTCCAGGGATTCTTGCCTTCTCATGGTGTGCCTTAAGTACAACAGCCTCAGTTCTGTCATTTTTGCTTCTAGGTAAAGTTCTGGCTTGATTTGATCTAGGATCCCCCTTTTCGCCTTTCTGTCAGCCCACGGTATTCACAAAGCTCTCCTGCAGCACCATGTTTCAATTTTTTTCACTTCCCACCTTTCACACCCAGAGAAATTGTTTTAAGATGCTTCAAAATCTTTTAAAACTTGGAAGAATAAGAAAACCTCGTGCTGAAAGGATAGCCATGTGAAGCACTGGCAGACTTCCTTTGGGGAGGCATTCCAGAGTTTGGGAATGCTTTCCCAAACAAGAACAAGAAACCTTCTCCAAGTGCCCCCTCTGTGCCTCAAAATGAGGGGGGTCTTGGAAGGGGGGGTCTTGGCTTACCTTAACCTCCAAGCAGGTACATCTGCTGCATATTGTGCATTGTGAGTTTGCCTTGATAAAGCTAGGGTGTAAATTGTATTATTATTATTATCATTACTATTATTATTACTATTACTATTGTATTATTATTAATTACATGTCTATACTGCCTGTAGCCAAACCTCTCCAAGCAGTTTACAACAAGGTGAAAAACAATAGAACACAATAAATAAAAACAATTAGCAAGGTTTGTGTGTGAAATACATAAAGAAATGGATCGGGAACATCTAGTATCAAAGGCTTCATCCAGATTTCCCGAAGCACAAGAATCGGGCCAAATGGGGTTCAACAAGGACGATTACCGAGCGACTGGGCAGCCCTTTGGACATACAGTCAGTAAAAGCTCTTGCAGTTGCTCCCCAGTCTTTCCATGTGCTCGCATAGCTGGGGTCGGTTTTAGCAACTTAGCGAAACTGAGCTCCGCTGCTGCATTCGGATTATCGGGCAAGCTGTCATACAACTAGACAAGAAGACAGACGCTGCTGCACCGGGCGCAGCAGGTGTGGACTGCCATGCGTCAGCAGAAAAATAATTGTGGGAAGAGGCAGACGCGATTGTCTGCTCTGCTTTCCGTATCACTGCATGCCAGGCTTGAGAGGCATGATAAAGTAAATCGTCCTCCTCCGAGATAAGTTTATGCCTGCGTATTAGCCTTCCAGGAAGGGATGGTGGAAAATTTGTTCAGTTTGCGTTTCAATGCAACCTTTCCCAGTTTCACAATATTCTTGTTGCTCCGACACTGGTTGTGTTGCAGTGGTGGGAACCTTGACGAAGGAGAAATTAGTGCTTTCTGAAAGCAAATTAGTGCTTTCTAATTAGGAGAAATTAGTGCTCCTGGAAGCAAACTGAAACAGTTGTTTCTGGTACGGGGCAGGTCAGCTGAGTGCTTTTCTGTGAGCCCTGCTAACTTGTGCTGTTCCTAAAAGCCATGTTTTTACTCTCTTTGGTTTGTTTGTTTATTTATTTAAAACATTTGTATGCCACCCAGTTGTGCCACAACACCACTGGGCAGCTCACAGCATGAGAAAAAAAACATGATAAAAACAAAATAAAACCATAACACATTAAAAACAACAATAAAATGCAGCAAAACATACACAACAAAGGTCTATGGCTATTAGTTATTAACATTTTTTTTAAAAAAGGAAGGTCTTCTCCTGGTGCCGAAAATAAAGTAAGGAAGGCGCCAGGCGGATCTCCTTGGGGAGAGCATTCTGAATATTGGGGGGGGGGGCAGCTGCAGGAAAGGCCCTGCTCCTGGAAGCCATCCCCCTTACCTCCTTAAGGGATGGCTCACACAGGAGGGCCCGTGCATCTCAAAGGCCGGGCAGGCAGACACGGGTGCAGACGCTCCTTAAGATCCATGTTCCCTTAGGGCATTCTAGTTTCCAGTTGTGCTAGTGATGACTCCCAGGAGCATCCAGGCAATTGGGTACTGTCTTGGTTTGTGACCTGAAATCCAGTTCTCCTTTAACTTTCGCACCCGCACATTTTGTGATGATGTTCTCCAACAAATGCAGAAATGAGCACATTAGTGGGAGAAAATTAAAAAATGGCTTCTAGGAGGGAAGAATATTTGCTCGATTAAGATCTGGAAATAGGATGAAGCGAACAGTTTGGAAAAATAAGCAACGGAAAGCGATAGACTGCATTTGCAATGGCAGGTTGGTGGACTGTGTGATTGAGAGGCAGCGGCTGGCTGCTGGTTGTGATGGTGGCGCTGATACTTTGTCCAGTCATCTCCAGCGGTTGGCAACTAGTAGAAGACATGGAAAAGCACCAAATATAGCTGGAAAAATCAATGCGGTGCAGTGGTTGCAGTGCCAGGCTGGGACTTGGGAGATCTGGGTTCTAGCCCACCGGGCCATGAGGCTCACTGGTGACTTTGGGCCAGTCCCTGCCTCTCAGCCCAGCCTACCTCACAGGGTTGTTGTTGTGAGGATGCAGTGACTAGGAGGAAAATCCTGTAAGCTGCCTTGGGTTCCTTGAAAGGGGAAAAAAGGTGGATAAAAATGTTATAATAGGAATGACCTTGGCTAGAGATGAAAACTTATTCCCAAAAATCTCCTTTGAAAATGCTGATATTTAATATTCTCCAGATATGAATGCTTGTGAGCTTGGGAAAGGAAATAAAAGTTAAACCAGTTTAAGCAGAGTTCCAGACAGAGAATTCCCAGCCCGAGCAATCGGAAGGCATTATGCGGCTATACGTCTTAATGGAATTTCTGTGGTTACAAAAAGATGCTAGAGGCAGTGGGAAAGCAGAGGCTTCCCCTTCCCCTTCCCCTCCTTCTCCTTCTCCTTGTTCTCTGTATCTTCTGTCTCCATCCCCATCACTGTCTCTTCCTTCCCCTTCCCCTTCCCCTTTTAATCTCAGTACCGCCCCCTAGCCAATACTTTCTGGGCAGTTATGGAAGAAAGCCCATTCAAGCCTCATCTGGAATAAACCTGGGTCTGAACCGTAGTTGCAGCTGTGCCTGAGCTGAGCCAATGGAGCTACTCCTCGGGTACCGATCGGCTGTTTTTCTTCTCCTCCAGTGGGCGGCATCCACACCGTGATTCAGACCAAAGCCAAAATCACACTGGACGAATGGGGGGAAAACTACTTCCTCATCGGCCCTTACTTTGAGCAAAACGTGAAGACCCAGGTGGAAGTCTGTGAGCCGCCCAACGTGGCAGTGAAAAAAGCCATGGAGAGCATGAAGGACGGTGGGTGCCAGGTAAAGAGACCTTCCCTTTGTGTCCTGAGGCAACTAAGCTGGCTCTGAGGAGATTAACTGGTCCCACTAATGCTCTTGTCTTGCAGCGGAACCTGCTAGTCCCCGTCAAAGTTACACTAGGCAAGACTCCGCTGCCTCCCCGGCGCTTTGCACAGGTGCTAATTCAGCAAAGTCAATTCATTACTGATTATTTTTAAGAAAGGGACCTGTTCATCCAATTACATGTTTGAGGAGTTATTTATCTCCAAGTAATCTTAATGGGATTTGCATCTTAGTTTTCCAGTCCCCAAATAATGCAGCCAGGTTTTACCGAGGTGACCTTAACCTGACTTTGCGGTGCTGCTGGATTTGGCCACTCTGTGCCAAAGAGGCAAAACAAGAAACAACGTTGGGCAATCAAAGGAAGGGTAACGGGGCAAGGTAACTTAGCCAGGAGGTGTGCCATTTCGCCTTTTCATGCCATCCTGTACATATCTCCTCTGGGGGAGGTTCCATCGAATTCAGTGAGTCTCCTTCCCAGATGAGCGTTGGTAGCAATGCAGCCGTAAGGAGAAGAGCTGGACATTTTAAATAAGCAAACAAGGATAGAATACAGATGGCAAAGAGAGGATGTCTCAGTTGTGTCTGCCCTGTTTTCTGCAGTGCCCTGGAAAGAGCATTCCCTGTTAAAATATATCAATATACTTTTTCTATTTTTTCTAATCCACCTACATGGATTGGTGGGAGTATCCACACTCATACATACAATTTTCTAGCAATCAGAGGCTTCAGCAAAAGTGGATCAAATACCCAAATTAGGATTGCTTTGATATTGGCATACCTTATACTACCCATTTATATTTTGAAATCATTATAGGATCCTCAGTCCTTGCATTATAGGATGTGAATGTTATCCTTCCAATTTTGAAATATCAGTCTTTCAGTTGTAGAAAAGATTCAAAGAATCCATTGCTAGTCTGTTAATTTCCATGATTCAGGGAAATAATAATAGAGAAACTGCATCGGTGGAGATGAAAGGCTGTGCCGCTACAAAATATATCTGTGAAAAAGATTTCTTCCCGAAAGAAACAGTGGCCAGATTTTGCCAAACATGTTTAAAAGAAGCATTTATTGCATTGCTCTCTGCACCTACTCTAGAGCAAACATGAATGACTGCCTGCTTTGACCCCCAGAGAGCACAGTGTACGGAGTTGTATAGCATTGCCAGCAATTAGCTGGATTAACAAACAAGAGGAAAATGTTGTGATGTCCAGAAGATACAAAACATAAGTCATTGCTGAATCAGATGTTAAGATCCATAGTCCCAGCCTAAGATGCAGGTAGATCCAGGTAGCCGGGTTTTACCTGAGCTGGTTGTGAGAGAGGACGTTGTCTGCTGTGACTGTCCAGACCATTCTTGCCCACAGCATACTGCCCCATGCATCCCAAGCCCCCCGTGAGGTTCTCCTCAGCCTGGGCCTGGATTCTCACATCATTGAGTTCTCCATTAATCTTTCCAGCATGACCCTGCATAAAAATAATCTGATCCTATAATCTACTGCTCAACCTCCAATTCCAAGCTCTCCCTACTGTGTGCGTAGGATTAAACAACCCCAACAGAGTCACCTTCCTGGTCTTTGAGACAGTCTTCCCTTTTAATCCAGCGAGGATCCTGCATTTTGTCAAGGCATGGGGTTCAGACAGATGGCCTTCAAGTACACTGCCCTGAAATGATTTTAAGCAGCCGCTGCTGTTCAGTCCATCCATATCATTCTCAGAGGTCGTGAACAAGTCTGTTCCCTTCCCAGCTCCTTGGATGTGCAAGAGACTAAAACTGGGATCTTCTCCAGGCAAAGCAGGTGCTTCTGCCGCTGAGATATAAGGTTTCGTGCTGGCTGGAAGTAAAGACAAAGAGGCTAAGCTAAAGGGTTAGTGAGACTTGAAGTTTTAAAGACAGAGAGATGGCACCAAGAAGGTGTTCCACCAGGGCAGGCTGGCGACTCCTCTGGTGGTGGAGCTCCTCCTCTACTGCAGCTTTTCTTTTGAGTTGTATAGAAACTATCCATCCCCCAAATAGGTTCACCACCACGGAGTACCATGGACAACTTCCATAAAGCTCAAAATAAACAGTGCCAAGGATCAGAGTCATCCTCCCCACCCTCCCCCAAGTTGTGGGCAGGAGCTCCAGGCATACGAAATGGCCAGAGAAAATGGGCAGAGTCTTTAAAGGCTCAAAGGACATAGATGGACTCCGCGTATGCTATGGCTCAGTGACGATGTAGCCCAGCGTGTGAACCATGCAGGACAGGTTCTGCCAGCACCCCAGGGAATCGCTGAGGCAAGGACGTGTTTGTCCTGGTTTTGGGGGGTCGGACAGGTTGGCTCTCATGCTTCTTCCCTCCCTTCCACAGGTGTATTTTGGCAGGTGGCTGATAGAAGGGAGCCCATATGTGGTCCTGTTCGACATAGGGTCAGCAGCTTGGAATCTGGACAAGTGGAAAGGGGAATTCTGGGATGCAAGCCACATTGGAATCCCTTCCCATGACCGAGAAGCAAACGATGCCCTCATCTTTGGATCAGTAACTGCCTGGTTCTTGAAAGAGGTACAACGTTTTAAAGTTGCCTTTGCCCTGGCCATGTAATCTCTCTCCCCGTTTCTTCAGAGGGGCAGGCAGCTCATCCAAAATGCTCTGGGTGAGGTAGCAAGAGCACCATAGCAGGTTAGGCCAGGGGTTGGGCACCTCCAGCCTGAGACCAAGTCCGGAAAGGGGTTCTGCTGCTTTCTCTGAAACCTGGATCCTGTGATGGCTTCCCAGGGATTCTCCTGATCCGTAAAGGTCAAAATGGCTCTCCTAAGGCTTAGTTATGCACAGTGAGAGGCTTAGCTTCAAGATCCTGCCCATTTCCTGTTCTGAGGGCTGACGTGGTGTGGTGGCAAGTGTGTTGGAGATCTGGGTTCTAGTCCCCACTCAGCAGTGGAGGAGCTCGGTGGAATGCATGCCTGTCACTGAATTTTGCTAGCAATGATTGCTAATTTAACAATACCTTTGATCTCCCTACCAGTCTGCTTCATGCTATTGGCAACCCTGCTGAGAAGCGTTTAATAAATCAGGGTCATAGAATCACACAACCGGAAGGGGCCTAGCAGGCCATCAGGTCCAACCACCTGCTCAGTGCCAGATTCAAGTCCCCCGTCCGGATTTCAGCCAGGTCCGACCCTGCTTAGCTTCCAAGATTAGGCAGGATCAGGCACTTTGGGCTATGCTGTGCATGGAGTACACCTCTGATTTTCTTGGCTCTTTAAACTGGGAGAAAGGTGAGCTATGAAGTCAAGTGGATCCAAAAATCTGCCATTTAAAAATAAGCAAACACCTCTTTGCAGCTCACCGATCAATTTGAAGAGAAGCCTAATATCATTGCTCATTTCCATGAATGGCAAGCAGGACCTGGACTGATCCTTTCTCGATATCAGAAGATCCCCATCGCGACCATCTTCACGACTCACGCTACTCTGCTGGGAAGGTACCTATGTGCAGCAAGTATAGACTTCTACAACCACCTGGACCAGGTAAGGAAGGTAGAATTGACCTGCTCTCTCTTCTGTCCACATGGGATTATAAAGTCTACTAACAATTCAGAGGTTTTCTAAAGCCGTGTTACTATTTTCGGTCTGTTGTTCTCACTTTGCCACTTCAGCTTTGCCTCTGCTCTGGCCTATCCACAAACATAAATTTCTATTGCACTTTTAGCGGACAACATCAAAACAGAACAATAGTCATAAATTACATAATACAGCAGATCAGCACAAAACAAAACAGTAAAAGATTGCCCAACACAGTGAAAATAGCTAAAGGATACTTTTTAAAAGAACAGGGGGAATTAACCAGAATTAACTCCTGTGTTATTATGGATCACACTGCTTATTTCAATAATAATTTATTTTATTTATTTATTAAAACATTTATATGCCATCCTTTGCCGCAGCTTCATAATCATAACAGTAGTTATGGTAAGAGGCAAATGGGAAATATCATCTGTCCAACCACATTAAACAAAATTATGGTCAAATGCTTTAGTAAAAGTTGGTGTTGGTTTACAATGCAGTTGGTCTCACACAAATATATCATTTTTTTAAGCAGACCCAATGCAATGGCAAACTATCTCATTTGGGGTTTTGGCTTGTAAGTGCTTTTGTTTTCCTTTGAATGTCTGACTGCGTACTTCCCATGGCCTCCTGGCTTTGTCTGGGAAGCCAGATGATATCTCAGAATCCCAGCTCCAACCTTGGAAAAGCACTCTGAGGTTAGAACTGGAACTTGCACCTCAAAAGCTGCCCTTCTACTCTTCCACCTGACACAGGTCTTTCTGTGCTGGCTGGTCTCGGAAGAGCATCTTTGGAGTTGGCATGGAAAGGATCCAAGCCTCCAAGGATCACGACCATCCTCCGAAGAATCCAACCGATGTCTCAATTTCTCCTCCCTACGGAGGGGAAAGACATTTAAACCAAAGAAATCAGCCTTCTCAATGTTTTGGAGGATGAGGATTGTGTGGAGGCGATCACAGCCTCTGGACTCCTCCCACCTGATCTTACATGGGATGGAAACATCCACTGATTTCTTTGCTTTGAATGTCAAATAATAAATACATGTCAAAATATTATAAACAGCTGTAAAGAATCATTGCAGAACAACATGAAGAATCATGTGACAAATCTTTTGGCCTATTTTCTAAGAAGTGCCAGAACTTCCTAGCAAATATTTTCCAAAGGCTTGATCCAGTTATTGATCTATGAGGCTGAATTCAGACTGGGGCATACTGGGAGTAGATCTATTGATTTTTCTGAGTTTAACTGCATGTGCCTTGGAGATCAGGATATTACCAACCTCAGGGTGCTAAACAACGTCCGAATGACCATGGGATTTTCAAACTCTCAATCAGGAGGTTGAGAAATCATCCCATGTCACTGATTGATGGGGATTCAGCACAGATCAACAGAAGCAAATCTTCATGCTGTGAGAGGTAAAACTGAAATCAGCAGATTAAAAGTTGGCGATGCCCACCAACTTGGATAGCTTTCAAAAAGGGTTAGAAAAATTCCTGGAGCTACTAGTCCTGATAGAGAATTGTTAGCTGCAGTATCAGAAGCAAGAAACCTATGTGCACCAGATGCTGGGGAACAAGCTAAGAGGATGCTGTTGTACCTATGTCCTATTTATTTATATTTATTACATTTATATACCACCCGATAGCCCAGGGGGGTCTCCAGGTGGTTTGCCATTTACCCGTGGTTCTCCCATGGGGACCTGCATGGCCATCGTGTGAAGAAATTGCTGGACTGGAGCTGGTTGATCCAGAGCAGCGTTTCTTCTATTCTTGGGAGTCACTGGTACAGTCACTGTCCAATAAGTGTATTTCTTTCGAGTCACTAACCATTCCCTGAAGACACACGCAGTGACTGGAATGACTGGTTTGGAGCACGGCTGTGTCCTCCAAGAATCCTGAAGTTGGCCCTGCCCCACTCAAGAATTAAACGGGCTATTAATCCAATCAAGGGTACTTTAATGGGGGTGGGGGAAGCTAACAGGATTCCGCAGATCGCGGCTCGCACCCGCATGGATGGCTGACATTTAAAGGGTACTAATACAGGAAACGATGCTGGATTGCTTTGCTGTTGCCATTCCATGAATGCTTACAGCACATTAAAGCTCTTTCCAACAAATGCTAATATTTCGTAAGAGATCAGCTGTCTTAATGAGGACATCCTTGCCTGTGAAAAGGTCACCCTGGCCCAAAAGCTCAGTGAGCAGGAGGGTTTATCTCCAGGACAATGAAGATCCGCAAGAGATTTCCTCCCTAGTAGACCATTAAGGTCAAAGGAGTGATGTGTTGAGTTCTAAAAGACTCTCAGACCCCTGGGCAAGCTCGTGTGCTTTGATCTTTGGAAAGGGCAAATCACATCTTGATTTCCTGTGTCCAAAGTCCAGAAGTTTTGCGAGCCTCTTCACTCAGAAGCGCTGCTCTGCAATAGTCTTCCGTGAAAAGTGCATCTTCTCCGTCAGCTCCCCGGTGGGGGCAAGAGAAAATTAATTTCTTGAGGGAAAGCAAGTGATGCATTTCAGAAACAAGTAAGCAGGGTCTGAACGGAACTGCGGACCACAAAGTGGTGTGGACTGAGGGGTTCGCCCCATTGTGTGACTAGAGAAATGAGGACCTGAGAGGGGAGGAGAGAATGCAGGGAGGGGGAACACAGACAAATATGGAAGTGCCTCCTCTTTTTTCCAAATTGTCCAAAACAAAATTCCCTGGGGGAAAATGTCATTCCAACACCCCAGTCTTACATCTCCATGAGTGATCCATGTCTTGGTGGCCTCTGCTTGCTTGCATTCCCAAGACACCCTAACCAGAAGGACTGAGCATCTTGGAGGTATTTGACCAATCACAACACAACCTTTTGGGGGTTTGCTTTTAGTCCAGCCATCCCCTTATGGAGTATAACTGGGCATTCAGGTAACACTGTATTTGTTATATGTTGCACTGAAATGTTTTAAAAGCAAATATGCTAGTTGGCCTGACTGTTCTCTCATCTACATTTGAGAGAATTTGGGGTGACCTGTCTGCTTGTGGGGAGACAGGCCAGGCAGGAAAAGAATCAGGGATGCAACCAGTATACAGATGACCTTTTTGGCAGCTTCTTACAGCTAAGCTCCACAGCTAGCCCAGCTCTTTCTCCCCATCCTGGGAGAGGATGCTGGGAGTTGTAGTCCAGCACAGCTGGAGGGTGCCTGGTGGGGGAAGGCTTTGTCAGACCCCGGCAAACAGAATGATGTCGGGAAAGTGAAATCAACCTGAGGGAGACTTGTGCAAAGTATTAGGAAGTACTGCCTTAAATCTAGGTTGGCCTTCAGTTCTTCTAGCCCGGAACTGTTGCTGGTTCTTGTGCCCTGTTTGGAAATGCCGGTGATGGAACCTGAACAGGAAAGCACATGCCACTAAATGCTCACAAGCTGGAGACTGTTTGGAGAAAATTGAGTGGCCTCCTTTTCCAAGCGGGTGGGGAAAAAGAAACAGAAAATCCCTGAAAAGTTCTTAGGAAAGGTTGCCCCTGGGATGCCTGCATGCTTCTTCCTGATCTTACTCCAGTGACTTCCCCCGTGGCCTCCGGGTTTGGAGCACCCTTGGGCAAGGCACTTCCCCCGGGCCCGTTCCCTCTGTGAGCCCTTCTCTCGCCCACTCTCTCTCTTCTTCTTGCTGGGCGGAGAGATGGCAAGCAATCTGGCTCGGGCGTCCCCTGCTTCTCCTTTGCCCCAGGACCAGAGCGAGAAGTTGCGGAACAAGCAGGGTGCGATGGTGAAGGGAAGGAGCGGGCCACGCGATTCTTGTCAGCAGGGCCCTTGCTGCGGTGCGGACCCTTGGGAGATGCTTGTCCGTGGACACCCTTCAGGCTTGCCCTGCTTCGGGAGCACATTTCAAGAGTTTGGAGCCGGCCCATGCTTGACCAGGAATGGGAAGCCAAGCCGACGTGCATCTCCCAGCCCAGAGATGGGCCGAGGCCGTCAAGGCAGTGGCTTCCTTAAAGGCCAGCAATAATGGAAAGTTTGTGGCCGGGATGAGATTGGAAAGGGGCTTTCTTGGATTACGACTTATGTTCTTAGCCCCAGCTCTTCTGCAGATCTGCCTGTTTCGAGGACACGCTCCGGCATGCAGTTCTCTCCGGACGGGTTGAGGGTACAGTTGCCGTACTCAGTTTGCAGATGGCTTTTTCAGGCCCTCTTTAGAATGACTTGGTGGCAGGGCTGTGGAGACTAGTAATTGGATCATAAGCCTTTCACTTCTAGGTCAGCAGTTCAACGCTGTGGAAGACCTAAAGCCCATTACAGCTCGAGAGCACTTTAGTGCCTATGGGGGATTACTCCGTTGCTTCTCTCCCCCCACCTCCATCCGCCACACTTCTGCTGAGAGCCAAGGTTCAGTTCTGAGCGATGGTCTAGGGAAGGAGGGACTTGTGCACGGGGCATGGAAACCCTCAGGAGAGTGTTGCCAAGACAGCCCCTCACCTGGAAAACGGAAGAGGAGAAAGAAGGCAAGCGGGAGGTGACTGTCATGGCCCGTTAGCCAGGATAACCAAGTGAGCCCGCTGTGTGGAGGCCCTGGGATAAACAGCAAGGGAAGGGTTTTAGCCCCTGCTGATCTGCTTTCCGGAGGCTGCTGACTGTCGGAAACAGAACCGAATAGATGGGGAGCCAAAAAGGCAATGATGAGGATGATGAGGATGGACAGAACACCAGCATGTGGCAGGTCTTGAGCTGGCTCGAGGGTTCTGCAGTCCAGCCCTGTATTTGTTGGGCTCGTCCAGTACAACCACCAGCCAGACCTGGTCGAAGGATGAAGCTGCAAGGGGGGCAGTGGAAACTCTGCCAATAGGGCGTGCAGGAGCTTGGGCATCTGCAGGCACCCCAGTGCCACTTTTACCCCAACCGTCTTCCATGGGCCTCAGTGGGTAGAAAACAGTAAAAGACGAAATGCAAATGGCTTGTTTGCCATCAAAAGTGGGCAGTAAACGGTGGCGCT